TGTAATTTCATCAGACTATCACCATGTTACTTGCTTGTCCTAGGTTTTAGCCTTTGTGGTTCCTGCAGTTTCTTCATCCTATTATTGTGCCTAAATTCTGTTCTTTGGCCAGCATAATGGATTAACAAGTAATTTTGAACTTGTTCTCCCAGTGTGCAGGGCTCTTCCTTCTTCCTTACTATAGCAACTGCTTGCAAAAGACACTGTACTTCAGCCCATACCACATGGAAGTTGCTTTTCATTTCAACTTCTAGGAAGCAGAACAGGGCACAGGGGAGTGAATCCCAAATGGAGTGAAGTTTATTTTAAATCACTTCTAAGTTTACTTCAAATGCTAATATTCTATCATTATTTCCCTTGTCAGTTTCTGTTATTCTCATTCATAAACATCCTTTCCCTTGTTTGTTAAAACATCTTCCTTCATAAACTAAAACCCTGAGAAGTTCAAGCCATTTTCCTGTTTATGGGGTTATTAGTTCAACTCCCTAAGGAACCCCTTCCTGTCTCTTATGTCCCCATAATAACTGGTTTTGCCTTTCACTCTGTCTGAAGACATGCATTTCTATAAGGAGGGGAGCTCCAACTGATGCTTTAGCTGTTTGTGATTTATGTGACTCTGACAGTGGTGTCCCTCTGCAGCAGCTTATGTCTTACCTGCAGTTCTCCTGCAGAGTATGCTGTTTTCTGCACCTTGCATTGTCTTACCAGACCTCAGGCAGAGCTCAGGAGACACTGAGTATTGCTTCTTCTGCAAAAAGTAGACCCACTGTCCAACAGGACAGCTCTTTCTGATGCCAGAAAGAGAATTGTTTTTATTTACTTCTTTCTTTCTCATTAAAGCATGTAGGTCCAAGGGCAGGGTTAGGATCGATAGGTGGAAATGCAGAGCTCTGGACCCACCCCTGAAGATCTCGGAATAAATATCCAGGGAGTCGATATGGGAAAACTGTGGCATTATAACATTCATTTGCTGTTATTACTTTTCCAGCAAACCTTTATTGAATATCTGCTTTGCCCTCAGGGCTCAGAAATTGGAAAGAAAAATTGATTCCAAGTAAAAAGGAACCAACTCCTATATACTTCCCAGAGAGGAATATAAACTTGCAGGCTCTGTCCTGGCTGAGCATGGGGATGAAAGCCCTTCTGGGCCACTTACTAGTTGAGAGACTCCAGGCAAGTTATTTCAATTCTCTGAAGTATCCATGTCACAGAAATACTGGGAAGAGATAAATGCAAAGGACCTATCAGTATCTGGCATATTCATACCATGTGGTTTCCCTTCTCTTTGATTCCTTCCTAAGCTATTCTCTGTAGAAATTATGGGACAGTCACAAATCGATCGTTAGTTGTCTCTGGATTCCAATCCCAACCGCTTCAAATGCTTCCCTTATCATCCAGGCGAAGCTTCTATGTTCTCTTCACGTGGAGACCTTGTGACCTACCATGGTATGTATCTTTGTATTACACACCTTCAACATTTCCCTTTGTCTTTTCCTTTGCTTTTCTTCCACTTTTTTGTTTCTCATTCTCTCTTGTATTACTTTTCTCTCCAAGACCCTAACTGCTCCTTCCATGATTTCTCATTCTATTTTTTAGGCACACTAAAAATCCTCCAGTGTCTTAGTCCCTGTTTCTGGTAATTTCTTCCACGTTAGCCTTCCTGTATGAAGCTAACTCCCACCATCCAAATGCATCAGAGTCTGACAGTATAGCCTTCTTACTTCCTTGACCAATCTTTGTAATACCCTACTTTGCATGAATTTCATAGAAGAAAATGTGAATTACCCCTTGTTTTTTTTGGGGGGGGGTGAGGCAGTGATGCCTCCATGGAAATTTAGGATAATTAAGCTTGGAGTGAGTAGGGAACATCAACAAGGTGGGAAACTAGGTTTTCCTAAAATATGAACCAGTGACAGAAAAGCTTTGCAGGGCACAAATGAAGCAAAGGTGGAACCATGGGACACCTCTGGCTCCAGAGCTCCACTAAATACCCAGGAATTTGTCAAGCCTTCTGTACTCTATCAAGCACACCAATGACAGTATCTTCCATGGCACTGGGAACTTTGATTTTACTCCCCATTTAAAATTGCTAGAATTGAGATACCACTTTCTTCATAACTAATAGTGCTCTCCTTTATCACCTACCTGTTCTGTAGATGTGTAGTAGCCTCCAACTTCCACCTTGTAGGTATGTTCTAAGCAAAATCAAACCACTGGAATTATTTCTTACACTGGTCTATTTCTGTTATTGTAACACAATGTTTAGAGAAAGAATATGCACATTTAATAAATAGAAAATATTTATTGTACAGCATTATCAAGATTATTTGACAAAAGGCAGTGACACACCCAAACAAAACACTTTTACATGAAGCAGAACAACTTATATAAGCAGACACATTAAGGTGAAGACTTTCTGCCCTTTGGTACAGGGTACGTATGTGTATATCTCCAATTTTGAACAATTATGATATAGGTTCTAAAACTCTATTCATTGAGGAAAATTCATAATCATGATAATAGCATTCAGAATAATGTAATCAGTATTGAATGTGTTCACCAATGTCTCAGGCCAAAACTTCAGAACAAATTAACATCTTACATTATTAGAATAGAAGTAATTTCCTCATATATTCTGACTTAAAAATCTAAATATACAAGTTCCACAATATTAAGGACCCATGTTAGTGGTTTTAAAAGATGATTAAAAGAACATGTTACACAAATAAGAGATTATACGTGTTCTCCTGCTAGTTTTCCAATTCGTATAAGCATGTGAGCCATCTATTTTTCTCAATCTGCTTCATTACAACGAAGACGTGGTGGTGAAATTCACATTTTCGGTAATGAGGTCTTTTCAGTAAAGGTGTGTTAAAATAATTTTTAAGTGGGAGGCAATTAATTCCTGACATGAAACTGAAGAAACTGGGCCTTAGAATATGGTAAAACATTGGAGTTGCTACTAAATTCTGAGAAAATAATGTAGTTGATATTTAAAGATTCTAAGATGATTTTTGGCTGAGAAATCAGTGGCTTTGATATGAAGGAACTATATTAAAATATGACTGAACATAAGGCATAAACAAAGATATTTAAAGGGATGGGATTCATTCCACAAAAAATAAATGAATCAAAAACAGGAAGAAAAATCCTTTTATTGGGGATAAAGGGAAGAGTAAAAATGGAATAACTGGTTTACATGTTAATGGATATTACACAGCAGCACATGAGGGAATTATAAAGTTAGGATAGCAAATATTCAGGAATTACACAGCAACACATGACGGAATTATAAAGTTAGGATACCAAATATTCAGGAATAAAAGACATGAAAATAAAAATTAAAAGAAGGTAAAATGTGATTGATGAATTTTTGAGAAATTATGACTAGACTTGGATGATATTGTACACTAGATCAACATAAAGCTCAAGTAGATGTGGAAAATCTTTAAAAAATCTAAAATAACCTGAAGTAATCTAAATACTATCTTTTCAATCTTATGTTTTAGTGATGATGTGTGCAAGTTTATAAAATGTACCTTGTATTGTCACCCACAGTTTTGTGACCTTTTTTATATAACAAATTTTCAAACAACTTGATTAATAACATTCCCACATCATAAAATAGCTAACAAATAAGTTCCCTCTTGAAAAAGGAATTGCCACCTGAGCTGCATATGAAGAACATTGGACCACAGTACTCAAACCTTCAAAGAACTTCTGCAGGTATTGGTGACAATGATATATAAAACATTACTGGAACATAAAAATATCTAGACTATATAGATAAAAGACAATCTTGTAGTTGCAGTTAGATTGACATTACATTACACAAATTTTACAATCACGTGTATACAAGGACACAAGAACATACTCACTAGCTAGTTACAGGGACTCTGGTGACAATAGGAAAGAATTACTTGTCATTTAAACCATTAATATTTGCTATAAGTACACCATTAGGTTCAAAGATGTATTTGTTTCTGTAATATATAAGAGAAACAATGGCACCACATTGTACATACACTGACTCTTAGAAGTCCAACTGGTTAGTTTAATTTGCTACAGTAAATGGAAGGTAACACTTTTGTCAAATGGTTTGTCTTCTTTAACTAGAGGGCAATGGAGAGCCTGCTTGGCACAAACACAAATGAATCCACAAAAGGTCTCTGCCACCCTCAAAGCTATCTGTTCTTCTTGGCTTTTCCCCAAGATAATAGTATCAAATATGGGAAGCTGATTGTGCCGACAGATTTTGCTCAAAGACCCATGCTTACATTTTGTTTTGCTTCTCATTCTTCCTCACCTATCATTCCCAATGGAGTACTTTTTGGTGGTTTTTGCTTATTCCTGTTTTCTTAAATAGAGGGATGTTCATGCACCTTTCTGAACGTGTGACAGCCAGACTGGCACTGGATGGCAGCAGGGGTGAAGAGAGGCCTCCCATGAGGACATTTCCTGAGTCCAATGAAGGCAGGAGTCTACAGGCCCATCAGGGAGAAGGGTTTCTGAGAAATGAGCTGCTGCCTCATCCCTGGTCCCCGGGTGTCCCCATGCCTCTGCCTCTCCCTTTCATACTTGCTCTGGCTCTTAATTGCTTATTAAGAATGTCATGAGATGAATTAATGATTCAACTGGCACGTCCACAGGGGCTGTCCCGCTTCAAGCTTGGCCAAGTGAGTATGGGCTTATTAATGTATGCACAGTTATGCAAAAGAGGAAATTATTTTAATTGACTTTATTTTTTGCAATAACAGTTAAATACCATATGGACTTGTGCTTTGTCGCATTCCTTTTCTCCCTAGAGAAGGCTTGTGAGTAATTCGAGTCAGCGTCCTGGCCTGGACCACTGTTTGCCTGCCGTCTTTCCCTCTCCTCTTCCCCTGCCTCTCCTCCCTCTGTGGCCCTCCTCTGCCATGCTTCCCCTTCTGGCCTTTCGCCCCAACTTGGAGGGTTGGAGCCCTCTGGCTTATCTTGCTTCTCCATGCAGACACCTCCTCTTACAGGGTGGAAGAGCTTTGCTTGTAGTCCCTCAGGATGACAGAGGCGTAGGTCACATTGGGAGGGGTGCAGAGCACCGACTCAGACACGGGGGAGCTGGGCACCGAGCTGCCCGAAGCCACCGAGTCTCGGAAAGGTGACGGTGGCGTCAGGGCAGGGGAATCCTCCGGAGTCAGCTTGCTAGCCGCCTGCAGGTCCTCCTCTTCCTCCTCCAGTTCGTCTTCCTCGGTGTTCCCTTCGCGCTCATACACGTACTCCTGCAGGAGCTTAAACCTCTCACTGTCGTCCTCGTCCTCGGCGGGCGGGGACACGGGCTCCTCCCCGAAGGTGCTCAGCTGCAGCGGCAACCTCTGCAGGTGCTGCGGGGGGGGCGGGGGCGGGTACAGCGACCTCAGCCCGGTCCCCGGTACCCCGGGGCCCGCCAGCACCGCGTGGAAGTCGGGGATACCCGTGCCCAAGCTGTTGACCACCTCGTGAATCTGCTCCATCAGGGACTTCTGCTGTGACTGTGGCTGTGGCTGCGGCTGCGGCTGCGGCTGCTGCTGGAGGGGAGGGGGCAAGCCCTTGGGGATGGCGGGGTCGGCCAGGAAGAGGGGGGTCTCCTCTGCGGTCAGATGGGGTGGCAGAGGCGGCGTGGTCACCGCGGGTGGCACTCGTCGGTGCACCACCATGGAAGGGCTGCTGGGAGGGCTGAAGCGACCCGGCTGGGCGTCCCCCTCCTCCTCCACGTTGTAAAGGGTCTTAGTGCTGGTATCTGAAAAGGTTAGGCTCTTACCAGAGCCTTGGTAACTTTTAGTGAGGGGCTTGATGACGGCCGTTTGGTTGCAAGCCGTCTCATTGGTCTTCACGTGCACAGAGAGGCGGTGCCACATGTGCTGTCCCTTGGGCACCTGTCTTCCACCTGGTTCAGACCATGACACAGACTTGCCATTAGAACTATGAATAAAATAGAAACGGATTTATTTGCAGATGGATCTTGTACAGAAGATCAAATACGTATAAAGCTATGCAAACCAAGTTAAATGCAATTTAACTACACCCTCTACTGTAGGCCCTTCCTCCACACCCCCAACCTCCCCTTACTGAAAACCAAACAGCAAAAACTGAAGTTATGGAGGTGCCTGTGAAGATGTAGCCAGGGCACTCACCCCATGCCAAGGAAGGAAGTATTGACCCTGAGAAAAGTTGTTGGGGACAAAAGTCAGTTTCCTGTAGAAGCAGTTATTTTCACTTAGGTGCAGGATATTACAAAGCATACACACACACACACACACACACACACACACACACACACACACACACACAAAGGCAATAATAAAATTGTTCTTCAGAGAAGCCTGTGAATGAGTCCCAAACAGACCGAAGATAACCTCTCTAGGACAAAAGCTACTCTTACTACCCCATGAGGTTATGAACTAGACCGCTGAGTTGCCCATTCTGATATGCAAGTATTCCACATATACTCAAAAGAAGCATAAGTATACACATGGCACCTGTACAAAAGAGGAAAAGACAGATGACAGAAAAACCCAGGCATAGGAGGGAGCGAAGCATTTTGTAATTTTCTATTTTCTTTCAAAACTTTGCTCCAAACACATTCAGTGGATCACAATTTGCATAAAGGCCCTGATTCACAGCAGCTAGTTGGGGATTTTCACACTTCAACCGTTTGATTAGGTGTATTTTTGAAAGAGATAGAATGGAGAAACCTAACAAATATTAACATTCACATCTTGAAGTCTTCCAGCATAGTTTGATGCAAATAAGACAAAATTAATACTCAACATGGCAGTCACCATGACAAAGGCCCCTGGACTGGATCATTCCTCACTGGACATTGGAAAGAAAAAAAATCTTAGGACATTCCTCCAGCCTCGTCAATTATTATGGAGGGATCATGAATGCCTCCCTTTAGGGAGTTCATGTGCTGAAGGCACGGTCCCCAAAGCATCAGTGTTCAGAGGTGGACCTTTGGGAGATGACTGGATCATGAGAACTCTGACCTCATGAATTGATTCATCCATTTATAGATTCATAATTTAATGGATTTGGGAAGAGAGGCTTTGTTATAAAAGTGAGCTTTTTTCTTACCTAGTGGCCACCATTAGGTGAGCAGTTTTTATCTCCCATGTGCTCCCTGCCATGATGCTCTGCCTTGATACAGGCACCAAAATAACCAGAGCCAAGTGGCCATGAACTGAAGCCTCTGGAACAGGAGCTAAAATAAATCTCTCTCTTTTAAGTTGATTGTCTCAGATATTTTGTCCTTGCGAAAGAAAGCTAACATGTTGACTTTCATCTTCATGAAACTGTAATAAAACCAACCAAATGGAAGTTCTCTCTGAGGAAGAAAAAATGAACTGTACTATGTGCAAATATCACAAATACCATTCTGTATATTGCAAATAACTTTTGCTTTTTGGACTCAGCTTATTTTCTGTATAACTTTTAACAGATGGTGGTACCTTGCCATAGCTTTCTATTAATAAAAACAGTATTAATACTTAAAATCAGTTTTCTTCTGCTTTTTAGGAGTTTGCGTTTTTCTCTGTACCCACTATAACAACAGAAAAGGCAGACAATAAGGACAAAGTTGTGACATTAAAAGGAATAGGAAAATGAACACCTTTTTCTTGGGTGGAGGTATGTATAGACTATTCCATATCATAGTCCTTAGGGGAAAAAAGTAGGAAGGAATCATTAGTTAATACAATGGTTTATTTAATCATTTTGAGAATTTAAGAATGAATGCTTCAAAATTATATATGAATGTCACATTTATGATAAGGGTAATGTTTTATATTTCATCTTTTAGAATCTTGAAAAGTGAAGTATGCCAAATAAATAGAGACTCATGTAGAAAGTCTGATATCGAGTATAGAAAATTCTGAATACAAAGGCTCCAAAGCAGATAAAAGAGTTAAAATTTTTTTTGATTTCCCTATTTTTGGGGGAAAAAAGAGGTAGTTCCTCCTTATATCTGAAAATCCATTTTTCATTTTTGGTATTTTTAATGTCTAAGAAAAATGCCATCTCTAAACTATTATATCAAAATCAATAATTCTCTCAATTACACAGTTAATATATTTCCTGGGAGTACATAAATGCTTATAATGTTAAATTTATGAATTTTTACCCTATCTTGTTAGAATAACTGACTCTTTTTGGAGTTAAATAAACTAAAAAAGAGGACAGCTGAATCTCTGGAAAAAAACAGTTAACCAGCCAGGCAAAAGCAAAACCAGAATGCACAATTCTTCCTCTGAGTTTAAAACTGTAGGTAAGCTTACCTCCCACTTTCATCTTTCTCAGTTGCCTGCATCTATATCATTTCACTCTTTATACGTTCAATATGGGTCTTCCAAAAAATATTAAACCTTCTATCTACACCTTACCTTCTTTAAATATGCCTTACTAAATGATTTACATCATTTTCAATTCCAATGGGAATATTTTTTCTCTCCCAAATATATACCCCTCAATGTTTATTAATAAAATTACTAAACTAAAATGCTACTTTGACAGAAGTCAGGGCCTCACACTTAGGCGCTCTACCACTTGAGCTACTCCACCAGCCCTTTTGTGTTGGGTGTTGTGAGCTACTGGTACCTGGCTGAAATGCTATCTTATGTGTTCACTCACTTGTGTGGTTTTTCTTTTTATCTTTTACCCTTTTCTTCCACAAAACTGGAGAACAGGAGGGTAGAATATGTCCAGCCCAGGGTTGGGGAGGTTGGCACCAGTGGGAGGGGGGAGGAGGTGAGGAAAGGGGGTAAGAGGGTGATTATGGTGTAAATACTGTGTACACCTGTATATAAATGAAAAATTGACACCTGTTGAAACAGGCGAGGGGGAGGTGAAGGAGAAAGTATGATATATTTGATATATTGTAAGAACCCTTGTAAATGCCACAATGTACTTCCTCCCACCACAACAATAAAGGGGAAAATTTGTGGGCTTGTGTGTATGCATGTGTGTGTGTGTGTGTGTGTGTGTATAAGTATGTATGTGTTATAAAAACAACAGGTACCTTGAGGGCTCCTCTGCCTTAGTTCAAACATTAAGCCTAGAAACCCCAGGAAAACTTTGCCCCTGTGTCTCCATTATCTGTAAAAAGGTATCCTTGCATTCTGGGAAACCCTCATTTGCCACACGGGCAATTTTCCTCATGATCCAGGGGTTCCATGTAGGTCTCTTTTTAAAATATTCACACCTGTATATTAACAGTAGTACTGATGATCTTGCAAAGACAGGTAATCACAATTTAGTTCTGTTTTAATTGAATCCAATTTTTATTTTTGTGATGGGAGATTTTCACTACCGCTGTCAAAATTCGCAGCTTTTCTTCCCCTCAGAGACTTGCTCTAGATTTGCTGGAAAGTCCTGTTTAATTAGGAAACAGATCTCATACCCAGGACATTTATTGAATTACAAAAAATTACACTGATCTTTTTGTTTTCAAGGTCAAAATAAATTACTTCTTTAAAAATAGAGATAGTAGAAAAAGTGCATCATTGTGTAGAAATTGCAGCACAGAGTATAAACTTTGGTTCTTTCAGGATTAGTCATTTTTCATCTGTGATCTACAGACAACCTGAAAGGTCCATGAATCTGTGTTCAGTAAGAATTTTTTTAGGCTTAATAAATATTGTGCCTCTTTAGATAATGAATCACTATTTTATAAGGACTGTGAACAATAAAATGTGCTGTTAAATGTAAGTGTAACTCAATTTTGAGAATGTTTTATTGTGTTCTGTATTCAAATGACCGCTAATGAAGATATTGACTATCATTGGTTCTGTAAAGCCTCAATAATTGCTTTGGTGTGAAAAGGGGGCCTCCTATTTGAAAAGGTTAAGAACCCATTGCTATGATGATAAGAAGGGAAAAATATATAAAATATGGAACATCACAAAAGAATAAATACATTATAAAATGCACTAGTACTATAAAATAAGACATTTATTTAAGTCTGTTTTGGCCACCAGCTTCTTCCTTCTATTGTTTAATTTTACTCAGTTTCTTAAGCTTAAGAAAAGTAATCTGGTTTAAAAACACCACTAACATTCAGAAAACACTCTAGCATTGCTTCAACTTCAAAAGACAAACCTCAGGCATAAAATAATTTCTTGTTTAAAGATAAAATGAAGTGCATCTGGGGAAAATATCTCAGGTGGCTAAACACATTTATTGATTGACTCATTGATACTTATTTGAGGAAATGGCTGGTAGGTCTAGAGGAAGTGGAGAGGTACAAGAAAATGTATAATTATGATGTGCTGAGTTGGCAGGCCTGTGGCTTAAATTCCAGCTACAAAAGGTTCAGCGTCTCACTCTGATTTTTCTTTCATTAGATAAGTATCACAGTCCTACCAAACACAACCCAATATTTCCAGCACTATTGAGAAGAGTTGGGAGTGGGTGGCGTAAACAGATTCGTGTACTGTTGGCATTCAGAGGGCCCCTGTCTGATTCATTTGTCTCAGTAAATACTGGTTACAACTGCAGCGCACACTGCTCCCTGCTTCAGAGACATCTAAAATAGAAAGAGCAGTGGGGAAGAATCCCGCACACACTGCCTGAAGAGGAGGCTTCTACACCACCTTTCTCTCTCGTGTCCAATTCAAGTCTCTGCTGATAGGCTTCATTGCTCCACAACAGATATAAGGACAGTATCCAGAGAGCCATAGACAGGGCAAGACCTTCCCATAAGAAAGTGAGACTCACACCTTGGAACCTGAGGAGGTCACCATTTCTTTGCTCTGAAAGTGAAACAGTAAGCAGAAAATGCCATGGAATTCTAATGTGGGGAGATTGGCTCACCAAGTTCAAACTGCAAGCCACCAGCTTTGGGGTAGCCTGCTGTGGCTTCTGCTGCTGCAGCTGGGTGAGCCAATTGGTATCAGAGGCAGTCTGGGAGGAGGTTCTTGTAAACT